TTCTACTCAAATGATGAATTAATGATAGAAACCTTTATTAGTCCCACAGCAGGGAGATTACAAATCGATGAAGAAACAAGGCTCCTTTAAGATGATTAAGAAGAGCAGAGATCAGATTCATACTACATTTCACAAAGGCAATGATCCTTACCCAAATAAGTTTTTACTACCAGCACAAGTTCTGACCAAAACTTAAAAGGGCATTGTATAAACTTAATTCATAAAACAAAAGAAGGACAGACAGCAGAAGCTCAAATTCGTCTCCGGATCAGCCTCCTTACCCTCGTCTCCATGAAAAATAGGCCAGCCTGTGATAGGTGCGATGAAAAATTAACTATCGGCATTAAAAGATAAACCGCGCAAACTTTATATTTCTGGAGCACGTCGAGAGATCTATCGGCTTTACTGCAAACACTAAATATTTGCATAATGACGCCGCACTTTCAACAAATGGCATTTCCCCGCGATCGTGCCATTACAGGTGATTTATAACAGGGATGACTTCAAATGCTTTCAAAACACTAAGCTGTAATATTTGTCATTAATATACATGACAGCGGTAACTTGGTGGTGTGGAGATGATGGAAGGGCACTTAAACAAGAATACGAATATATTAGCGGACCCCGGCTTCCATAGATTGTCGTTGTAATGTAGGATGGTGTGGGGGTGATTTAGAGAGGCCCCACGTCTCTGCTTTATCACTGCAGACAAGAACTTCTAAAACTGTACTCTCTGCTACACACTTTACCGCCTCTCATCACTTGCACATAAATCCTCCATTTTTTATGTCTTTGAGTCCAAATCCGGCGCCGATCGTCCATTATCCGGGCTCTTGTGCCAATATCCGATGTAAGAATGTGAAAAAAACAAATGTGTCGTAAATTAAACTGCAAATGTATCTCCGCTGTTCCGATCTCCCCGTCATGGCAGGAATAAAGCAATTAAATGACCTTGTGCTGGCTTTATCTTATTGGAAACTTGTCTGCGTTTGCATGCATGTAAGAGAGAGCCATGCGAGTCACTATTTGACTGTTTGGGCTGAGAGCTGAGTGGCTGAGTAAGGGTGTACCGCTCTTTTTCACTTGTTTATGTCTGAAAAAGCTGGTTTTAAGGTAGACAGAGGCCAAGAATACATGCGAGTATGTCACTGTTTTTTTGCAGTGGGAAAGACAGGTACCCCAGCTTTAACACTAATAACATTTTTTGTATGTAACCTTTATTTAACCAGGAAAGTCCTAGCCTGGCCTTAGCCATCCGTACACTCAGCTAACGTCTGGGTCTGGTCCCTGCGTTTGCGATTACAATCGGTGGACTTCCATCCGTCCAGGTTGTAGTTTGGCAATGGCAAAGAATGCCATAGTAAAGTATTTCGGTCTGGTTCTATCAAGAAATTGAAGCCGGAGCAAGAGGAATGTTTACCAAATGTAATCGCTGGCAAAGATTGTGGCGCTACTCCCCACGAGCTCCGTTAGCAGCAAAGGAGATGGCTAGGCTAAATGCTAATGCCTAACTCGGGCTCAAATCGTTTCAATCTGCCACAGGAGTTAACCCCTCCCACCTGTTAACGGAGCTCAATTGAGCACATCCAGACCTTAGTACGAAATGTAATTTGTACTATGGTGTGGTACGACCAGGCTAGAAAAGTCCCATTGAGATAAAGAACCTATTTGTCAAGGGAGTTAAATGTCTATATACAGTAAATACTGTATATGCCTGAAATATGCCTTGACCGGCATATTATATTATACATATAATGCAATTTTTCGTGTAATACAAAAGCTTGTATTTCCAAACCTGCAGAGTCATCGGGTTAATCCACAATGAGAGAATATTGGGAACTGATTGATTAACTGATTTTGCTCCATTAATAATGATTTTAATGACTGTTAAGCACTGATTAACCTTGTGTATGAACTGTGCTATACAAATAAACTTACCTTTTGATATTTAGCCAAGAACTTAGTGTGTGGTGAATACATTTCTCTCCTGTTCTCCTGTACTGTATAGACACATGCTACACATGTCATGTGGGTGTCTTTTGAGAAAATAATAATAAAATGCAAATCAAAGCCAAAGTAAATATAGATATAATATCCAGTATTGCGAACACATAATCCATAGTAGACCATAGGCTCCTATAGCTCCTGATAGATTGGAGTCGTGGCCTTGACAGTCTCACAGCAGTACTCAGCAGACGCCGCACTGCCTTCTCCCCCTCAGGGCGGACTCTAGCTGGGCCGCAGAAGCTCAAAGCGCGGGCCCTGTCCCGTCTCGGCCGCGTGGCTCGCTTAAACACTTTATCTGGCCAGCGCTTTATCGACTGATGCATAAACAGGCTGAATAATTCCGCTGATGCCGCCAGCCACCTCCGTACCTCAAAGGATTTCCTTGCCAAGCATCAAAGGCAGTAATTGAGAAGGAAAGCAACAAGCACGGTTTTAGATGTTTCAATAAGTAGATGGTGATGGGAGAAATAACATATAAAATGCGCTATAATTTGTGCAATAAAGCTGAAGGTAGTTATTAATACATAACATATAAAAAGAGCTATCATTTGTGCAATAAAGCTGAAGGTAGTTATTAGTATTAAAGCTGGGGTAGTAAACTTTTGTTTTTCATCACTTATAACTGTTGTTCTTCCCAACAGAAAGTCTTGTAATAGTAACTAGTTCAGACCACAAAATGCTCCTTTCATCAAAGTGTTATCGTTTGCAGACTTGTAAGAGAGGGCTTAGTGCTGATTGGCTGAGCAAGGGTTGTACTCTCATTGTCACTTTTCTGTCTGAATAAGCTGATAAAGATGTGGCATAGATGAGGCCAGAAATACATGATGGGAAAACTAGAGATTGAACCAGACTCCATTCAGAGGTTAGGAATGAGTCAGATCAGGGGTCTCAAACTCAATTTAGCACCCACTGGTCCTTTGCGCGGGACTGGTTAGTTGTCCAATCACGGCAAAGAAAGGAAGCAAGTTTTAGGAATAAAGATATGATTTGTTTACATGTATTTTTTTGGGGCCCCGCCTATATACGCTTATACAGCTTCCTGTGAGTTTCGGTACCTACAAAGCACCTTCAAACAAATTAGCATGTATATGATTTGTATGACTATGAAGTTTTGTAAATAAAGAGAATTGAGTTGGGTAGCCATCTTTGTAGTCTGGCCCCATTCCTGTAGTTCTGATTGAAGAAATGGAAATATACTGAAGAACCCCATAGCGATTACTAGCAGTCTAGAACCTATAGATTGATAACTATAACACTCATTTCAACCAATCAAATCTTCTCATTCTTTAACGATAACATACAGAAATAGACGCAAACAGGAAAACCAAGGAATGAAGCATTTTTGGAAAGTTTGGAAAATAATTACTTTACTAAATAAAAAATAAACTAACTAACTAACTAACTAACTTACTAGCTTTAAAATTATGTATAACATGTCATATTAGCCCAGAATCTCAGTAAACATTGATGTTCAGTAGGTGCTATGTTTGAGACCCATGCGTGATATATTTATTACATAGTTACATATTACAGGAAATCTCACCAGCAAAGAGGGTTATATTTGGCCCTTACAATGTAAACACATGTTAAAGCTTGATATAATGTCTACTGTATAGAGTCACATAGAGTCACGCATTTTCTCACTCATTAGTTAGTTTATAATCACTAATTCTGGACATTCTGCTGACCGTTTCACTGTTGCCCATGTTTCACCTGGGTTAAAAAATAATTTGCTCTTTTGCTGATCCGTTTAGCGGCGGTGTTGACGCAGCTGCAGTCTCAGCCCACGCACTCACACGGGCACTTTTCATTTCTACCTTGTAGCGGGTAATGACCTCCTTTAATGCAATCATCATTCTAAATATCCCATCATGACAACAATCATTAAGCATGTGCTAGCGCTAAGGCTTTTTCTGCTGATGGAAGCCGCTGGTATGGATCTGTTTATGCCCTGCTCCACGAACAATGAATGACAAGGCCTTACATAAAACATTCAAAAAACAAAAACATTATGACCAGTGAGATCCATTTTCAGCGGGATAATCATGTGTGGTAATGTAATAGACAATAAATACAGGTTTGTGTTCTTAGTAATGACTTCTTGTGCTTTTGTCGGCCGAATAGGTATCATCTATGATAGACTAATAAACCAATAGAGACTAGAAAGCACCCTTTGGCGTCCCTATTCTAGTCTTTCGTCTAAACAGGAATGCAAACTGCTCAGATATGCAGGTATAACTAAATACAACTGCTACTGGGTAAAAATTGTCAAAGAATTATGTAGATGTAGTACAACCAAGAAATCACTATTAAAACAAATGATATTTCTGCCAGTAGCAACATTGTCATCATTTCTGCTACTGGCATTCACAAACTTTTGTAATTATCACTTTAAATTAGTCCTGGGCAATGTGCCAATGACAACACGCTCATGTTTAACTGGCCATATTCACACATTTCATTTATAATACTAGTATAATTCGTACAAATGTATTCTTCTCCCTTTCATGATTGGCCGCCTTCTGGTTCTGAGTGAGTTTCTAAGGATGTATTTCCACTGGTCAAATACCTAGAACAAACACATGGAAGTGATGTTTTTGCTTTTTCATTTGTATTGTCAATGTGAAGCACTTTGAGTTGCCTTTTGTATGATTTGCGCTATACAAATAACTGTTGATTGTTGATTGATGTGTGATATTGGTTGAAGAAGAACGTCATGGCTTTTTACGAAGCAACTTAAATGTGCATGAATTGTGATCAAATGGTGATACATGTATTTTAGACCTCCATCCATCCATCCATTTTCTTCCCTTTAATCCATTTCTGGGTCAGGGGGGTGGCAGTCAGAGATGCCACCCAAGTCTCATAGCACCAGCCCATCTTTTAGACCTTTCGGGTATAATTTTTCTTGCCATATTACCCACCATCCCTTAAAGCAAGCAAAGCAGACAAACTAAACACACTGCCATGTTTCAGGAGTATCTCAAACTTACGGTTCGAGAGGTCAGCATGGGCGGGTTGTCGTTGATGTCCGTCACGGTGATGATGGCGGTGGCCGTGTTGGACAGGCCGAAGTTCAGGTTTCCTTCCATGTCTGTGGCCTGAACGATGATGGTGTACTGGGAGACTTTCTGTAAGGACAGGGATAAGACATGGAGTAGTGAGAATAGTCTTGTTTATTGGCATGGTAATAACAGCTCATGTTGTAAAACATCTATTTAAATGTATTTAATGCAAACATGTGCATACATTTAAACAACAAATAAAAATTATACAAAGAGATGAACTCTCATACACAGTTAGATAAGGGAAGGAGTGAAGCTTATTTGGTAACTCTACATAAAAATACCACCTTAAACCCTCATCAAAAACAATGCAGTTAAGCCCTTTGCACTTCCGTTGAAATGTTCTTTTTTTTAAAGCAAAAATGTATTTATTTATTTGTAAATCAAAGATATAGCCTAGAAAATAGTTTTCCAGAATTTCTCCAGTCAATGGAGATCAACCTTCAACCTTTGACTGCCTTTACTGAAATCTCATCATGTTGGTTGTATTATTTTAAGAGCAGGACGTCATTCTCCACTTCTACCTCTTACACTAACTCACATCAACTGCAAGACCGGCTTAACCAATATAATAAAATCCAAAAATATGACCAATATCCAATACCAGTATTGTATCGTTTCATCCCTAGTCTTCTTTATACAGTAGATAGTCTTCCACTGGAGCTGTCCATGGTCCTGGTTTGAAGCACGGAAAGCACAAAGGTGAAAGCGTTCATTCAGACAGACTACCCGATATCTGTGGGCCGCCCGGAGCCTCCCTTGGGGACCCCCGTCAAACACACTTGTTACTTAGTGCGGCTGATGGACAGATGTGAAGACAATGAACCATCTGACAGAGATGAATGCACTATCTACAGAGCAATCATATCAAGGAGAGATAAACGCCATTTCATCTTTTCAATTGACAAGTGCCAGGCTGAAATATGAGGCTTTTATTGGCGCCTTAACTGAACGTGAGTGGAAATCAAAACAGACAAGGAATATTATGCAGGGCTATTACTGCTATTTCTGTTGCTACTACCCACGGTAGATTTCCACTACCACTACCACTACCACTACTACTACTACTACTACTATTGCTACTACTATTGCTACTACTACTGCTTTGCTGGGCAACTTTTGGAGGCATTCAAAATGCAGTTGGCAGGATGTTATAAATAAACTCATGAAATGTTGACTTTAGGTGTAAGGGCTGTGCCAAAAATGAACAAATCTCAATCAATCTCAACTTCATCACTATTATCAAGACGTGCATTATAATGCACTTCACTGGTGGTAGACTACTTTTGTAGCCACAGCTGTCCTGGAGCAGACTGACAGACAGCGAGGTATCATTCAGGCCCACATCAGACTTATACTATTCAAAGTATTCACTGTTGCACCTGGTGTTCCCAGAGGTCTCCCATCACGGTACTAACCAGGCCCTGGCTAAATAATAGACAGAATGGTTGCTTGAGAATTATATTAGAGTACTTATAAAAATGAGAACACGCCAGACCGAACCTGGTAGCCCATATAACTACAACCCCTACTAACTACTAGTACCACAATTCTACTTCTTACACCCTTACCACTATTACTACTACCACTACTAGTACTCCCTCTACCACTACGCCATTATTACTGCTACAACAAATACAACTAGTTCTGCTTCTTACTTCTGGTACATGCACGCCCCCTATCCAACACACCATTGCCTCTTTTAAATATGGGTCGACCACAACACAGCACTTCCAAGCTGAAATATGCTTCCGTCATGTTTTCCTTGCATTTAAACAGCCCCAGTTTCCCTCTCCCTCTCCTTCGATTCCCCCTTCCCTGGGTGCAGCTAATGGGCCCGCTGACGGAAGGAGCTCGGGAGTCTGCTGTCTGTATAATGCATCTTGTCACCGCGATTCCCCCAATTACAACCCCGGTTTCTCCCTCCCTTGTTAATTACCCAGTAAATATCCCAATTAGAGCCACATCAGGAGCACTCCGCCACGTCGTCTGATCGCTATGCCAGACGTGAAGCTGAACCCAGACCTGAGACGCACACCTCATTAACACCCAAGTACGGAGCTCTCTTCTTCAATGCAGTGTTGTGGACGGGGCCTGCGCGCCGCTGTCAGGCCCAGTATGCACCAGTGTTATTTTAATTAGACCAGGGAGTAATTAAGGAAGCGTCTCAACCTCTCAGCGGCACAACAACACCTCGAGAGTGGGGTACAGGACCTCTGGAGAGTGCCACGGCTGAGGGGGAAGTCGAGAAGCTCTTCAAAGTCTGCAGGGATGATGAACTTTGAAGATGGAAGCATGTTGTAGAACTTCTGTCTGGAAATGTATTCAATTCAATGTATTTGTGTTTAGCTGTAAATCACAACAGACGTTGTCTCGGAGGACTATACTAAGTTGATTCACCAACAACAGTTCAGAGAATCAAACAGTTGCAATGCAATAATAACAAACACATACTAGCCATCGGCCCAAAGGGATGCCTTTAAAAGTCATTTTTTCAAGGCCAAAGCAGACAGACACATTCACATAGACTACATGAAGTCACATAGGGCTGTGCGATTTAAACATTGAGATATACATTTTGCTGAGGACACATGTATTCTAATAACAGCTGATGGAAAGGTGCACACATATAGAAGAAAAAACAGTGACTCTCCTCACTCACGTGTAATTACATTTAACCATTTTTGGATTTAACTCCTGCGCATGTCTTGGGCCTCTGCTGCTTCTGATTGTTAGAAGTATTAAGGGCGAAGCTTGTTCCAATCAAAAAGGTGATGTGTACGACAATAATTGGAGTATATCACTGTCGATCACTGTGCTTAGTCTGTTTATTAATTAAAGTTTTCTGACAATTTGAGATAAATATTTGTGATAATACAAGATAAATGTATTTATCCCTTTGTGGGAACATTTCAAGAATATAAGACTTAAAGTAAAACTGGGACATGAAATTGTGTACAAACATGCTACTGCAACCTTTTTTTATGCCTGTCTTAGAGTCTTCCTTAAAATGTGAGACAAGATATTGAGATGTGCATACAACTGAAGGATTGTGTCTTCACTATTTCTGTGTACTACGATTATTTATCTGTGATTGTTTCTATCTTCTTTTGTTACCCATTTTGAGTTGCTGTGTGTATAAACTGTGCTATTCAAACAAACTTGACCTGCCTTCTAAGTGTGATTGTAAACATTTTTTGTAATGGATGAGAAAATGCATATCTTGAGATTGATCACTTAATGTAGTAGAGTGCATAAAAATGGTTTTCAGATCAATTGTCACAGTTATTAAAGATGCATTATAACGAGTCAGCATTTTCCTGGTAGCTAAATGACTGAAGAGGGCATGTGGCTATAACAGTGTGTTCCGTTTTCCTCTGATGGAGAAAAGCCGGAAAAGAGGTGGTAGTTTCTTTGCCACAGCTGCAGCTTTCATCAATCTCCTTAAACTGACCAGAGAGTAGAGTTTAAATTGCTTCAAACTGGAAACTACTTTAAAATCATTTATAAATCATTCTAGTGTAGTCCGGATACAACATTTTCGAGCTCAATTTGTTGGGCGTGCCAGGTGTGCCTTGGTAAAATGCCCAATTTGAGTTTACATGGATGACAGGGAACGAGGAAACGAGGAGATTTAGTTCAAAGACAGAAAAATGACGCTCATTGCTATAATCCCAGCATGGTGCCTGACTGTAAAATAGACATTACACACTTCTTTTATCTGGAACTGAAGTCATTAAGTCAGAAGTGAACATAACAACTGTGATGCTACAGTAAAATGGTGGGAATCATTGAACTAATCGATTTTTTAATTGATTAATGTTTTTTAACATGCTGAGAAGAGCTTTTATGACTCAGATAATTCTATATTGACTGCGGAATAATGATATTTTTAAGTCATCTTTATGAAGATCTTGATGGAGATATTTTGGTATAAAAAGTCAAACATTCTTGTTGTGTGGTCGGTTGTTTACGTTTTTTTTTCAAATTCTTTCGGAAAAGAACAACAAAAAATGGCCGCCCTTTTATGCTGTTGCCCACAGTAAACGTAGAACGGGAAGCGTGGGGATGCCATCCATCCATCCATTTTCTACCCTTTAATCCATTTCTGGGTCAGGGGGGTGGCAGTCAGAGATGCCACCCAAGTCTCATAGCACCAGCCCCTCACTGACCCTCTGCAGGTGGTGAGTCCACAGGAGGACGGCTGCTCTCTGAGTGTGAGCATAGCCTTGATCTTTCAGTGGGGGCTTTGGGCAAAGTGGGGTTAAGTGTCTTGCCCAAGGACACAACGACAGCAGTCATCAGTGGGAGTCGGTGGAGAAGGTGCAGAGGTGGGAATTGAACCCACGACCTTCTGGCCTTAAGGCCAATGCTAATTCTTAAACAAATTTACGTTTTGCAACTACTTTCACTGCACACTTGTTCACTGTGATGATTCATTCATGGCTCATCCCTGTGGATTCCTGTTCCACGTTTACCGTAAGTATAGCATAAAGGGGCAACCCGCTTTTAATGTGCGGACCACTTTACCACCACGGCGAAATGCCGGGACACTTTACCGCGGTGAAAAACGCGGTAAACGGACCCTTCTTGCGTGAAGGGTTTCTATGAAGTAAGAATGAATGTCTCCCAGTCCCAGCAGATCGGTGCCAAAACAGAGGCGTGCCAAAACAGTGTGACCAATGTTTTTTCTCGTCAACCCAGGTCTCATCTGGGCTTTGAATTTGTTCAGTTCGGTCTCATATACTTATTTATATCTCCTCTGATCTTCTTACGTTAAAGTGCGCACACGGGTGTAAACAAAGATCCTCCTTTGGCACTATGTGCACACAATGTAAATATACATTAAGCAGTGCAGTAAGGTGACTGCAGTGAATACAGTGATCAGTGAATCCCACTCAGCAGGTGGCTCCACGCTGCCAATCCTCACCTGGCAGCGTTTAAGCACTGCCCTATATCAAGCTTTTTTTATTGTGCTGAAAGCTTTCATTTGTGCAGAAACCCTCCTCCTCCCCATCACCAACACCTCGTCAGCGAGACCAGATTCAACCCTTCTCTTAGCTCCC